TCCTGAGGGTACTTCCTTTATAGGGGGTAGTCTTGGTAGGAATCTGACTTCACGGACCGCAAGAGCTTTGTGCCTTACAGGTTGTCCTGAAACTATAATTGCCATTCCATTTCATCCTCCTTTTAATAAATAGATCTTTTTATCATTATTATTGGGAATAGGTTGAAGTCAAGAAGTATTTTTTTTAATAATAAWAATTCCTGTACTGATTTTGAGTATATACTTGCGCTCACTTTAAAGACAACGAAAAGCTGGACAATAAACTGGATTAGGTTAACAAAGCAACTTAATCTCAAAAAAAAGTTATTAAATACTTTTAAGAAACCTTTTCTTTTACTGTGAACGACAGTTTCCTCAGGAAAAAGAACTGAAAACTGATCATCTCACAGGATTTATTAGAAGTATTTCATTAAACGTTTCCTCACCAAAAAGTGTTGCCAAATCTYTAGGTATACTAAGCCTGCCTTTAAAAGGTAAAGAAGTAGCTAAGAGAACACAGTTCCAGAACTGTAGCTTCCCTGTTGTTCTTGGCTTTACACATTTCTAAGCTACGGCTGATGTTTGATAAAATTCTGAAATGAACATAAGACAAATGAACTACTGCATACTTTTATGCATTGCTTTGAATGTTTTGAATTTAAAAACATAGAAGATACTAAATTGCAACATGCAATTGAAATCCTTCAATAGAGAMTTTCAGGGCTACTTGTCATATACAGCATTAAGCAGATCCCACYAGGGCTGTCGAAGCTGTTGGCAATTTCTAGTCTTAAAAAAGGCATAGATTAACTCATCTGTACTCTCTGGGGCCTAATGGTTTGGCAGACTAATGATGCTGCAAGWCTCTCAGACATAAGGTAATTGCCTTTTTCTCTTTTTTTAATATATATCAGCAATTATGTGTTAAGTAATGTACCAGTAATAATCTATCCTTTTCTCCCAGACTTAATGTGTCCAGGTATTATCCTGTACAAGATTCTCTTTGCTCTTAAAGGTTGCAGATTTGCTTTATGTCAAATTGACATCCTTATTCTTTTCAGCTAATATATTCTGTTCTGTAGTAGGGCCATATGAGCCCCTACTATGTTCACTATTAGTCATTTTTTACCCTTATGTGTAAGAGGAAACACTGTAACAAACTATATTAACTTGAGGGAAAATATTAATAACACTGTTGTTGTCCACTCCATAATTTTGCTTTCTGTGCAACAAAAGTCTGCTTTAAGAGTGCAATGAATGGGCCCTTATAAGAAAACTCATTGTCACAGTGCAGTCTCCCACTATCACAGTCTGAAAAGAAACAAATCCTCTTCTGGATTAAAACCTTCTCTCATGTATTGAATCTTCTCTTTATGCTCAAGGCTGGAAAACTTGATCATTCTTCAATGTAGATGCTTTTTTACTTTCCACTTTTCCTTTGTCTATAAGATTGACTAGTAAAACCTACAAAGCTACACAAAGATTCTCCCTTTCTCGGAACAAAGTACAGAACAGGAAAATACAACAGGTCCAAAAGATCCAAATAGGCAAATGAAATTACAGACTTCTATCCCTCAGACATGACTTTACTTCRAAGGTTTTTTTCTATCTGTTTATGTCATTACCTAGCTCCATTAGACATTCCTTTACCTTCTTGCCATAGCAATGAAGAAAAAAAAAGGAATTTTAAATGCCATCTCTGTGGCATCTGACTATCCCAGCTAGGCTTGATTCATCYGTTGGATTACCCTGTTGGGCAAAGATAGTGACATTCAGAACAACTTTTTGTGATTCTTATATAGTCCTTGAATGCTTTCTAGAGATGTTAAGAAAATAGGAGAATGAGATTACTAAGCTTTTCTAGAGACTACTGGGCTTTTCCATACAGGGGGAACCAGAAAAGATCCGTGCATTCAATGGAAGTGCTTTTCTCCTCTTATTTCAAACCCATAGCAGATTGAAGAATATGTGCTGAGTCTATTGGCACACCTGGAGTCTCTTTGTGGAAGGAACAGGGAGAAATTGAGCTTCTGGCAGAGTCCATTCTAGAATGAAGATCACCTCTTCCCAGACTCCTTACTTAGACAAACTGAGGGATGTTTCCACTGCCCAGCCTTATGATAGCACTGCTAAAAACACATTCACATCTCAGCTACTTCACTGGTTAATCTTCATTCTGACTGAAATCGCTCTTTTCTTACTCTCAGCATAACACTGTTAAGCAGACCATTTATCAGTATGGTCATTTCACAATGAAAATTCAGTTTATTATCTTTTGAAGAGGTTCTGTCTATTCAGTTACCCATTGCCATAGCAGATGATTTACCAGCTTAGTCACTGGTTATTGGTTTGTTGATTACTGGTTTAAGTTTACAAGCAAAAATGAATAAATGTTCTTTTAGAAGTTTTATTAAAATATTAATCCCTCTGGAGATGCTAAACTTCACTTTCCCATCCTCCATCCACCTCACTCATGTGTTGTATATAATTTGAAATATTTTCCAAGGCCTAAAGCCACACAATCACCTTTTCCCCACCACCTCCTCCTCCTACTACTGCCTCAGATTCCCTGTAACTTTTCAGAGTTCAAGGACACTCATTCACTGTTTTCCCATCTTTCTAAAACTGATTTCCTCTTCTCCCTGAGCCACTGCATCATTTCTTTAAATCTCACCTTAAAATCTCCCTGCTCTCTTTAAACTATGATTCACTATCCCTGGAAAACATTTTTGTGATATCCTTTATGAAGCATGCACTATAAAGATGAAATTTATTGTAGTCTTGTTGAAGCAAGCTATACTTGAGGAACTAATGTGACCAAGGATTAAGGATCCTACAGTCCTACAGAGTCCACTCAAAACAGCTTGACCCTTGCAGAAACCCTTGAAGTCTGAGTTTTCACTTTCATTCACCTGTAAACCTGTAAACTATATTCTTGTAGGCTTATAGGATGTGGTCTTAAGATTTTCTTTTGCCTTAGAACTTTGCCTTACTTACTTATCAGACATTCCTGAGTTTTGTCAGGTTTCATCAAGATGCCTATTCTAGGTCCATCAAATGTGAAAAGGAAAAATTTGTAGTTCCCTTATGTCTCCCTCCAATGACTAGTTAGTGCCATTTCCCCAATCCTGACTTCAGCTATTCTCCAAAAAGAACAGAAGAGGATGAAAATTTTGTCACCTTTTTCTTATCTAATTAGTTTGTTATAGATAGGACTTTGTTTATTAAAAAACAACAAATAAAAAAAAAAACAATTGAACAAAAGGATGCAGGGAAGCGAATTCACGGAGCCAGATGGGCTACACAGGGCGGGTGAGGGGGAGCTCTAAGAAAAGATAATGTGTGAAATTAGTAGGATGGTGTGGTACAAATGGCAGCATCCAGAAAACTCATGTGAACAGTACCTATTTATATGGTTAGTATTCCTCCTCATTCACGATGCACTCATCATTGTAGCACATAATTTTCTGTACTTCAATTGCAAAGGCCATTTAAATCTAGCCCTTTTGCTTAGCTCATCTAAGCATTTTATGACCATTTTYCTTAGAATGTTATACTCTCTGAAAACTATAATAAAAAACAGCTTTTAAAAGTCTTGAATTTGAAAACATAGATATTTCAAGATTTTATCTAAAGTATTTTTAAAACTACACTTTTTATTCTTTTTTTTTACTGACATTTGCTTGATTTTTTTTCCTTTTTTTTTTTTTTTTTTAAGTTCAAAACTTTTGTAATGGTCATAACACTAGAAACGAAATAACTAAATTCACTTTCACATGACTCCAAGAATTCAGACTTAAAGGAAATGCTCCAAATATTTAAGACTTGAAAGATTTTTGCAACATATTTCTAAATTATTTGTGTATGCACAAACGCAACACATGTGAGCACTGATTTTCGACATATAGAAGATCAGAGCAGTAGAAACACAGACACAAATATTAATGTATTACCATTAACATCATACTGCTAGATTTCATATGGTGTCACAAAGGTACAAGGGATACCTTTATATCTCCCATGTGGTTGTTTAGTATAACAGGGTGCACTGCAGTGATGCAGACTTTGCAGAAGTGAGTATGGATTTTTTTTTAATCTATGGATTAGAATTAATTCATTATTCTTTGACATGAAAAAATGGTGGTGTATGGGCCAATTTTTAGAGTGCTCTCTACATATAAGAAGTCTACAGACTTTACCTGAATTAGCAGTCAATACTAATGAAAATATTGCTATAGAAATAAATTTCTAACAAAAGGAGTTCTGAACAATGGTTTTGAGGCTTAATAGCTATTCTTTCTTTTTAGACCTTGTAAGGGGAAGAAAATATCCAAAAAACTCCAGCATAAATCCAGACATTCATTTACACCATAAAATACTAAAGGATATAGCAGTTCTAAGTCTGTGGGTGAGAGGCAGCTGGATGTGGAAAAGAAACATAAAAATATAAAGATCCATATATAAATCCTTATTTTTATTCTGGGACTATCAGTCTATAACTATCATAACCTTATTTCTAACCRTACATCTATACTTTATTTTTAACTCAGACTATAATTTCCTGCAYTGAAGAAGAAATGCTTACTTGTTCACAACAAAGCACTCTACCAACACTGGTTAATAACAATGATGAATAAGTAAAATAAATTATGGATCTGTTGGAGAGGGCCAGTATACCTAAGTTATTGTTAACATTTATTGTAGCTCTATTTCCCTGTCACTGAGAAATTTGTCATTCTCTGAAATTACTTTGCAKCTTTAAAATGTACATTTTCATGTAGTTTGTGATCATACTGATTTCTAACTGTTGTAGGTTGTTACCATTTAATTACTGAAGGTGCCCCAAAAGCATAATAAGTGTATCCACTTATTGCTTAAATCCACTTAAAATATGTATAGGAGTAGCTTAAATCAAACTATGATTTCTATTTCATTCATAAGCAAAAGAGTAAAGAGTTTAGAAACCTTTTCTTTCCCCCCATGCCCATCAAAATAAATAAATAAGTAAAATGAATACTCACTCCTGTTATGTATCGAGGTCTATACTGGATGGTTCCAAATAAGCCAAGTATGACTATAATAATGTGTATAAAATTTGCCAGGATGGGTGCCCACTGATAACCAAGGAAGTCAAATATCTGTCTCTCAAGCACAGAAACCTGTAATTAAAAAGCAAAAGAATAAATAGATTAGAATAGATAGGAAGACCTCTATTAGGATATTTCCCCAACTCATACCTAAGGTAATTCYGTAAAATATATACTCAAAATAGATATATTTCAATTTTATATAAATATATTCACTCAAAATATATATTTCAGTCAGCAATAAAATGATACGAGTTTGCAATGTTTCACCTTTTGTTTTAATGAGAGCAGCATTTCCCACTGAGAGTTTACTGAGTTATATTCATTTATTCTTGTGGTCAATTCTACCTAGAGAGTAAACTCTGTTCTCTAAAATGCCATTCTTATAGCAGGAGAAATACAAATCATTTTATTATGTATACCAACAAATCCAGTAACCTCCTAGTGCCGAAAATATGTGCTGGGCTTATGACAGACATCTCCTCAGCTACTTTGCTTCCATCCACAAACTCCATCCTTCAGCCTACTCCTATCTGCTTCCATCAATTTCTCTACCTTTTGACTTTCCCCTCTATTCCAGCTATTCTGTCAGTAGGCTTTCAACTTTACTCAAATGCATACTACTTTTTGAGCTTGTTCTACTGAGAATCAGTTCAGTTTGCCTCCTCACACTGCTGCAGACAACATACCAAGTATAAGTTATTATCCAAGGCTAAAGATTCTTCATTCTTAGATGTGAGTTATGGTACAATCTTGGGCTGTGGAAGAGTAATTTCAAGAAAGACTGTTCCAAGCAGATTAGAATATATATAAAGGATGTTGCAAGCAGATTATATATATTTCTAATAGTGTCAGTAGAAATCATTTCAGAATTGAAACAGTGGATTTCCCTTAACTGATACTCAACTACTATATCAAAATGCAGTAACCAGCCCATAGGCAGAATGATGTTTTTTAGATCATACTAATATTAAGGGGAAGATTAGAAGGTGATTCAACAGTGAGGTGAAGTTAACCAGAAAGGGCAAGGAGTTTCTTTGTATTCCAATCACAATTTCACTAACTGGAACTGTAAGCAAACGAGTTTCATGAAAACACATAATAGTAATGGTAATAATAATAATAAAGAACAGAGAAAAGAAAGAGAAAGCAGACTATTCATATATAAAGTATCATTAAATAACAGATGACTACTTGGTTTATTTTACACAGCAGATTAATTAAATCAGATTTAAATCTCACAGATTTCTTCACTCATTTAGAAGTTACCACCTCCTCTGGAGATCAAGCACTACATGGATAACTAACCACATGTTCACCATGAGACATAGCTAAGATAGAATTTTTCARTTTCATGTAGCAGTCCACTGTCACATCAACAATTTCTTTTTGTATTTAACTAAGAATATTTGCCATTAAAAAGCAGCCTACACTTGCACCATCAATGCAAATGCAAAACAAGAGTGTTAATAATACTGTACTTACTGGCATATGTTGCACTTTAAGATAAAGATTCTCAAAATAACCCTAAGGAAGTTTGTCAGCCATATCCTATTGACTTTCAGACAGATTGAAATTCAGAGTTTCATGTCAACCACTAAATTCTCTCTACAAAAAAAAAAAAAGATAGCCTTTATACAATATAGTCAGCTCAGGCTTGGTATTTTGCCTAGTCTTTTACTTAACAGATTTATTGACACAAAGAGATCCTTGTCCTACATCATCCAGCATCCTAATGAATTGATTTGTGACATTATATACTTCACCTTTAGGAAAGCAACATTAGACAGGAATTTCCCAAGTCCCAAGCCATAATACTGTAACTGTAACAATGGGTTGAAGAAAGGGTAGCAAGACTAAGCTGTATTCTGGATGTCATGATATCGCAGTCTCCCTACAATTATAAGATTATTGCTAAAAATATCTCCTTAACTATTAACCTAGCCATTTATATATACATATATAAAACAACAACAACAACAAAAGTTGTGGCATGAGCTGTATTATGCAGGTCTGTGTGAAATCTTTTATGGGCATCAGCAAAATGCTTGCTACATGTAAGGTGCTGTTAAACACATAACAAAAGCAGAATTCTCATTTTGATCTCTTATTTTCATTAACCGAGCAAAGGGTAAATGAGAACAGCAAAGAAGTAGCAAAGAGTCTAGACTGTACAAGCCTCTGCTGTCTTAACAGTGGGAATCCCATAAGCAAAAATGCAAGGGATGAGGCAAATCATTCAAACAGCAGGAAATCATGCAGCTAAATGTGCCAGTTGTAAAGGAAAATTGCGGTATGGTAGTTAATTATATTTAAAAAAAGTAGGAAACATACTATTCCTTCTGCAACTTTARGCTAAAATGAAATTGTAGTGTCATGCATCAAGTTTGCTTTTGTTTTCCTTCTGTTAGTGTGCAGTCCAATAGATCCTGCAAAACTTTTTTATGAGGCTGTGGTGGATAAATGGGTATTCTGTGTGAAATCTTCACCTCCTACGAGTCCATGTACTTTCTTTTTCTTCTTCTTTCCCTACTGCCAGTGATTGCTTCAGTACTGCATGATGACTCCCCCAGACTCTGTGGATGTGTCAAAATGGGGGATCAGGTGGAGGGGACAAACAGAGCACCCTGTCTGCCCACATTTATAATGTCCTGCTGGTAGAAAGCAGCAARGGAGGGGGGAAGAATCTGCCACGCAGAATAAGGAGACAAGTCTGTACGAYCTCTCTCCCCCGAGTTGACTCTGCACTTGCCATAGGCAGAGCTGCTCTTAGACTTGCTCCCGTATCCAAAGGCGCCAGTGGTGGCTGGGTACRTGAAATGGCAGCGTTCTGGCAGGCTGCACAGAGATAAAATGCTGCTGAAACGCAGCCGCTGTCCCTTAGAAGATCAGACTCCCGCAGCAAGGTGCATCACAGATTTATCAAACGGAAAATATAGGGCAGAACTAGATCTTTATTCCCGCTTCCTGAGGAGATGAAGGTGGAGAGGAAAAATACCCCCTAAAATAATATAGACTTACTACATATCGTCACNAAAAAAAAAAAAAAAAAAAAAAAAAAAAAAAATTCTCATTCAGTCTATCTCTATGCTTCCAAAGAGGAAAAAGCAAAAAGTAGGACAAAGTACTGACAAGAATCTATTAAAAACAGTATTATGCGGCTCCCTCCTCTTCCACAGATGCCAGATTCACAAGGGATTTCCTTACATACCAATAGAAAATGAAAACTTGCTGTTAAAAGATTTTTTTCCCTTTTACTTTAGAAACTTTTAATTTTCTGTTAAACCTTTTCTCCAAATGAGACACACCAGCTGCAAATATTTAATGATGTTTCAACTTTCAACCACATTACAAAGAAAAAGGAAAGGAYTGACAAAGAAATATTCTTATTTGAAGATTAGGAATAGGCAGAGAAATGCTCATTTTCTCTCTTCCTCTTCTRGAAACCAGAGCTTAAAAATGAGAAAAAGAAACATGAAAAATGGATGCTTTGAATGGAAAAGTAGACCATGAGAAGACAAAAAATAAATGTCTTAATTCAGTTAAATTTTAATAAAGCAGTCAGGCATGAGACAATCAAAATACAAAATATTTCAAATGTTTCAAAATACAGCATTGTGGAGTCTCAGTTTCTGATGCTAGAAAATAAAAATCCACTGCATCAGATTTCTAGTAAATAAAATACGATGTAGAGATTATTTTATCCAACCACTGATAAAATTATAGAAAAGTTAAGTTTAACTACAGTGAAATGTTTTTCCTACTGCATAGCTTTTTACTAGACTTCTGCTAAATAATTTAAAAATAAATACAAAATAAAACCAGCCTGTATGCTGTCCAGTTGCAATAGCTCAAGTTATTTCCAGATTCTTGTCAGAGGTGGGCTGTTAATAGGTTAACAGTGTTACTGACCTTGTGGGATCTAAGAATTGAATTTCCACGGCATAAAGAAAACCATTTTCAGACAATTCTTAAAGTATATGATTGGACTAAAATTTCAGGCAGGAACCACAGAGGAAAAGACAGTCAAAAGATGATTTATAACACAAACTCCAAAATGGAATATGACAAAGTGCCTTTCCTCAGAAAGCTCCCTGAGATGAAACTCAACCAAGACTATCTCCCAATAAAACAGAATCAAAATTTTTCATCAATATAAATTAAACTGCATGTAGGTGCACATGCGTGTGGGCACATGGGCGCACGCGCACGCGCACACGCACACACACACACAGTTTGTTATATATCTATATGGTGCCTTAAATTTAGAGTATACAGCCAAAACTCATAGCATTTTAGATACTGCTGCCAGCAAGCCTGGTGGATGTTACTATATCAGGAGCAAGAAAGGGCAAGAAAATGGCATCTGCCACCYGACTTCAAAACCTACAGCATCAAAACTGCCAAGAAACCTGCCAAATAACTTGCCAAAAGCATCTTGGTGCAGCTGAGATGCCAAAAGCATCTCAGTGCAGCTCGACAGAGGCATGTGCTCCAGGCTGCTGATTCAGGGAAGACTCAAGGCAGGTGCGGGATCACATCAAATGATCCTGCACCCACGGGGTCACATTGAAATGATGAACTCACCAGCTAAGGCACTTCACCAGGCTTTCAGCCCACCCTAGACAGGGAAAAGAGTGTGAAATTATAGTAAAGGACATCTAAGCAACAGGCCTCTGCCTTGCGACTAATGCAGGCTGAGACTGAGCTGCAGAAATTAAGCTGTAATCAGTAACTCATTAGGTCTCCTCAACTAAGYCACACTGCATCAGGTGCACACAGCTTCTAATCATTGATTGGCTTGTGGGTTTTTTAAGGCTTTTTTTTTTTTTTTTTCATGACTTTAATTTCTTGGTTCTATAGCAAATGCAGCAGGATGCGAGGAAAAAAAAAAAAAAAAAAAAAAAAAAAAAAAAAAAAAAAAAAAAAAAAAAAAAAAAAAAAAAAAAGCCCTGTAAATATAAAAATATCTGGGGCCTCTGCCTTATGAAAGGATGCTGATGTTTACATGTGTCACACACAACTGCCCCAGCTGACCCTCCCTCAACATATCATTCTGAGGCAGA